AAATTATACTATCATAAATTATAATAAATTATAATATCAAAAGAAGAGCAGGAGACAAAGTTTGAAGTTGTAAAACACCTCCCTATTTTCAAATCCACCCATTTTTCATATGAGCAAAACTATTGAAACATGTGATCAACATTTGTCTTCACCAAAGTGATGGAAAGGCCAAAGTGTAGAGAAATAAAGCAACTGCTTATGACTGAAAGTATACAAGCTCATCTGTGAAATGTGGTGCAGGTAATGTCATGGCTGCTTTAGGAACAGGCTAATTAATATTTATTGATAAAATATTTTGTCTGCCAATTTAAGAAGAAATGCACCCTAAGTAAGGAGGATATTTATCATGAAGCAGGACAATAATGATGAATAGCGCCGCTGAGGGTGGCAGCACGTTGGAGTAGCTCTGTTACTTTTATTGAGATTTTCTTTTCTTTTCAGGCGTTCATTCCTGCCTTTCTGTGGAAAAAGTAACTTTGCTTATTACATTCCCAAATTAACATCAAGTAAATAATAACTGCAGAAAAACATTACCACATGAAATAATTCAACATTAGGAAAATAGGAATGCTGAACTGCAAAAAGTTTTAATAAACTAACTTATTTTCCAAAGAAATCTTTGTAAATGCACAAATACTAATCTTCATAGCTCCGAATTAACATTATTACTTACAGTCATTGCTTTCTGAAGGATTTACATGAAGGGTTGCTTTGGATTCACGAAGAATAACACACAGAAACAGCCATGCTCTCTCCATTACAACTCAAGAAAATCCTGCTTCTAAATTCATGTTTCCTCTGTCCCAGTGGATGTCAAAATAAAAGCCTCAATTTACAATATTACAAAGTAATTTCAAAATAAACTTTACATCTTTGAATGACACAAATAACTGGGTGAGTGCATAGCAAACACACATTTAGGAGACCCCCCCACCACACACACACCAAAAATAAACATACATGTGTGTACCCACAAGGCTGTATCTACAGGGAAGGTGGTCAAAATGTTCCCCACAAGGTTCAT